AGAAGTTTTGACATTTTAAAATTTCAGTCTCTGCAAACAGGAAGTGGCTGAGTTACAGATCTAAAAGTCACTTACACAGTACAACTCACCAATAAAAAGCTTCAGACCAAATATCAAATAATTCCTTTTATTAACAGCTGAGAAATCTTTGACGAACATTTTAATTGGATGACGGACTAACGAGGTGATTGCACCAATCTGACGAGTGGGGGTATAATCTTATGGATGTGTAAATTTGTGTATTTACTCACAAACTTTACATAGAGTCATTTGAACTAAGGTGGCTCAAGGGAATTATTCCACAATTTGTTTGTAAAATAATGATTCATTAAGGTTACATATGTTTAGAAAATTAGCAAAATAATTATTTAATTCAAAGAAAGCACCAAATTATTTAAAACTCATAGTTCTTTATTCCATCTGCAATATTTAAATTAAAAATGAAACAATAAAAAGCAAAAGATGTGAGTCTTGTCCTTATTTTAAAGGACAACAGGATTTATGCAAGGGGGGTAATTTGATAAAATATCTTGTATAGATCTTACAAGAGAACAATTACCTTCTAAACTATTGGTGGCGCCTGTACTTGAAATATTAGTAGTAGTAGTACTAGTACGTAGAGACAGAGTCTTCCTCATCGCTTCCCTCAATCTTATTCTATCACCAATAGTTTCAACACCTAGTCTGATCAAGTCTTGATCAGTAAGGTGCTGAAAAGAGTCATCCTCTATCCTCTCATCTTTAAACTTTTGAAAGATTTGCAGATTAAGTTCTGCAAGAGCACGTTGTATAGCAGACGACATGTTGACAGTATGAAAATAAACCCGAAAAATTGTCCGGCTTCGAATGTTTTCGGTTATTTTCGGAAGTCTACCACCACCACATTATGAAAAAAGCACTGAATATAATTGATTAACCACCTAGTATAATATTTTTTGAACCAAACATAAAATATTTTGACCACTGATCATAAAGTTGTTTGTACTGAACATAATATTTATTTTACAGAACATAATGATCAGTCTACAGAACATAATATTTATTTCACTCAACATAATGATAACAGTACTGATTATAAAGTGTGTTTGGCCACTGAATATTTCGGTTTCTGTAGTCAACATAATGAGAAATCTACATAATATAAAAATATGTTGACAGAAGATATTTTCAAAAGTACTGAATATAAAGACAAATCTACTCAATAGAATAATTTACCTACTGAACATAAAGCCAAAACTGCTAAGTATATTGATTAAAGTGCTGAATATAATACCAGATCTGCACAATATAATGATTATTCTACTGATCATTATGATGTTACTGCTCAACATAATTGTTATACTACTGAACATAATGAAAAGGGCACTCATAATCGAGAAAAAACCGCTGAAAATAATTAAATGATCACAGCATATACTAAATATGAACAACGGAAGACAGCTATGGCGTTCCATATAAAATCATGCATCTTTATATAACAATTACATAATCTTAAATACCAAACAGGCATTTAGGTTCACGATTGAATTTCTTTTTTTAAAGAAAGCAACTTGTCTTGACAATTTATTTACCACTTAGATATGTATCAGATAACATTCAAAAATGTCGTCATACATAATGGGGCATCAGCAGGGAGAATTGCATATCATATCTATAATGGAGCTTCATCGACGATTATTCAGTCAGGATTCTACTTCGTCAAAATTATCTCCCCATTACGCCAGTTCATTTTTACAATCGTAGAAATGGAAGCCATTGTAGGGATGACGCGCTGCCAATTTAGCTCTTGAAAACCGATAAATTTATCCACATAGCACCATTACGATCCTTATATTTCAGTTGTATTTTAAAAGACAAATCTATCTACTAGCTATTGAGCATCAGTTAATGATCTTGTTTGCATTGAGTCAACTTAAAACTATTGTCTGATCGGTTGTCAGGTGGAATTTTCGAAAATTCATAAACATGTAAAAAAATTCTAATTAAATATTTCGTGGAAGGGCAGACTAAAAATGTTCAGTGGTTGAAGACTATAAATCCTAATTATCACACACACAAAATTATGTTTTTTCGAAGATATGCATTTTTACCATCCAACTTAAAAGACTGTCGTCAAGTTCTTTTAGTAAAAATTAGCTATTCGAACACATCTTCTCTGTTTTTGTGATTCATAAGAAAGGTATTTCACTTGACCTATATATTTCATCTTTTAGTACTGTGTAGGTCTTATGTTATAAAGTCAACCTGTAGCCTTGATATATAAAAATGATAGAATCTGAAGCGAGATGATGTATCAAATACTCTTGCTTTGTACGTTTTCAAGACGAAATAGTCAACTCAAACACGCCCTAACATAAAAAGGTACACTCGATTTTCTCTTTTCGATACAATAGTTACCCATTTTTTGGATTTTTTTCTTGAGTCAAATAATGGAAGGGCAGACACGAAAATTACTGAAGTAATAGATTGATATGTTCTCCGTCCGTGGTAAATTTTTTTTTTAAATCGGAGGTTATGCATTTTCTACATCCAACTTGATAGATACCCATGTCGTCGACTTGATAACTAATTGTTCTGCTTAACTTTGTAATAGATAAATTGAAAACTTATGCAAATGGTGTTTTTAAAATAAAATACTTCGTAATTGAGCAGAAAATTGTCATTTTATTTGTTTTTATGAACTTTAAAAAAAGCTGTCACTATAGTAAACATTACAGTAAGCATTTATCTCCTTCTCTAACAAAGAGCTTCAATTCTTTTGTTCTATTTCAACCGGGTTTCCGCCTGTACTGCATTTTGATGAAAACCTTTTTACAAAATATTGTGATTTTTAATGTTGGTTCATGAATTCTCTCAGATCACTGTCAATATCTCAATTTTCTGAGAGGTATACACAAGATTGTTTACAATAATGTTACAAATATCAAGTGAACTGAGTATGTTTTGTCATATTGTATAAGTGTATTGTGTAGTATCACTTAACCCGTTTAAGCTTCTTTTTCTTTTTTTGCAGTAAAGTTCCGATAATATCAGAAAAAGCTCTGTCGGTCTAGTATTTAGTTTCAGAAAACAAGCATTCTGTGAGTATTGCATGGCAATACTTAGTCCCCTACCGGCTAAAAATTCTGCATTGGAACAAAATTCTGACTTGATCTATAACTTGTCATGGTGTAAACTATATAACAAATATCAAGTCAATATCTTCAAGCATGACGAAAAAAAGTGTTGAAAACTGATTATTTAAGTGAATTTTCTAAGTCCAAGGACCATAACTCTGCACAAAATCATCAGACCGGAACAAAATTCCAACTTGATCTGTAACTTGTCATGATAAAACTATATACCAATTTTCAAATCAATATCTTCAAGAATGACAAAAAAAAAAGTGCGGAAAACTGATTATTTTAGTGAATTTTCTAAATCAAAGGACCATAACTCTGCACAAAATCACCAAACCGGAAAAAAATTCAAACTTGATCTGTAACTTGTCATGATAAAACAATACACCAAACATCAAATCAATATCTTCAAGCATGAAGAAAAAAAGTGTGGAAAACTGATTTGCCGGACAGACAGACAGACAGAGTGCAAACCTAAAGTCCCCTTCGACTTCGTCGGTAGGGGACTAATAAAATGTACATTATTATATGTGATCGAAAAAAAAATAATTGAAAAATTCCAAGATACACGTGTTATTGTGTTTAGTACAAGTCCAAAGTACATTTAAACTGTGTGCGGCCTTATTTTTGACCCGACTAGACGAGAAATCGAGAATAAGATGAATATTGGCAGCAGAAACTTTTTGTCTAGTTGTTTTTGGCTTGAAAAATACTCACAGATCGGTTCTTTGTGTCTTTGGTGTTTTTGTGACTTGATTATTTTGCTTTGTATCGATCTGATGAGTCAAGTCCTTTTCAACTAATTTTCATAGTTTGTTGTGTTGTTATACTAATGACCAGGTAAAAGCAAGGAGGTGGTTGGGAGCCCACAAACATTTAAACCACGCCATAATCTGTTAGTGTCTGTCCTAAGTCCAGAGTCTGTAATGCAGTGGCTGTTGTTTGTTACTGTATATCATATTTGTTTTTCGCTTATTGTTTTGAACACAAATCAGGCCTTTGGTTTTCTCATTTGAATTGATTTACCTTTAATTTTGTCGGAGCCTTTAATTGCTTGCTAAGAGGTATGCGTTTTGTTAATTGTTGAAGGCCTTACGGCGACCTAACATTTACGTTATTCGTTCTCGGGAGGATAGTTGTATCATTGGAAATCATACTGCCTCTACTAATTGTATATTACTATGTGCTTTCTTAGGTCCTTTTTATTCCGAATAAAACTACTTTTAAAGAAAATTGCTATTGAAATGCATTGACATGCGTGTTCTATAATTGATATATAATGATAACTATAATGATAATATCTTTAAATTTACTGTGGACGACTTATTTTCAAGAGTGATGTATTTTTGCGAATAGAAGATCAACGTTAATATGTGAAACTCAGATCTACTCGTATGGGAACAAAACAACAACATAAGGAAATGGCGACAGTGTATTGCCTCAAAATAGGATAGAATGGGTTAAACACGAAAACAAAAAAGTATCAGCGAAAATATTTTTAACAGTATTTTAATAGTTGTACATAATGTCTGTTTATTTTGATCGTTACACTTCCATCTTACACGACAGGAATCACAGAACTGAACCATGTCGAACATAAACTAAAACATGACACTACTGAAAGAAACCATGACACCGAATTTTCAGTGATCTTAAATTGTGTATAAATGTAGCTTTTTTTCTGAATAATTGACGGCAGGTTTATATCATAACGAAATGTGTGATATAACAGACAGTAAAGAAATCACTTTTCTTTATGCATAAGAAACGAACAACAACTTTTAAATTTTAAAATACACAAGCATTATTCTGTGTAAAATTATAAATATCTGATAACAATTTTAATGTACTAACATATTAGCCATAAACAAAGATACTTACCAGCTTGAATTTATGTTCAGATGTTCCTTGACAAAATGGCAAAATCACTGTACTAAACGCTCCTCGATATGACAACCTTACTACCCGTGATTCATACCGTTTAACTTGTATTTTAAGGTATTGCGATGTATATACTAAAGTAATATTTTAATAGCAAATTGCATTCCCACGCACTCATCTCTAATGAAGAAGGTGTATACCTATTACTGTTTTATAATACACAGTAACACATCTCAAGAACATGCCTTCATCTAGATTTGGATGTGAATTCTACTCATTTGTGAGCAATGATCATAAATTCAAGGCCAATTCAAAAACATTGGCATGGGTCAGAGTTAGTCTAACACTCCAACATGGGCCAAATCTGTCGGACAAAAAAAACCAATGAAACATAGTCATAAGGGAACGACAATTTAACTTCAAAGGGGAAAAGGGGGGGGGGGGGGGCTGTTATGTTTTTTTCCTAAAAAAATATTCTGATCCCCAATTTAATGAACAAAAATATTGACCAAAACAAATCCAACTTTCAGAAATAATACAAACATGTTAAAAAACTTGACAAGAAATTTGAGTAATAAACCCTGGGACGAAAATTTGAGAATAAAGATATATCTGTTAACATATAATTTAGATGTATTAAGTAATTCAACGCCACATGCGGGGTGTTGGCTATGTCAGGATAGGTTTTGAAGCGGAGAAAATGCGACCAATTTGCTAGTACGTGTGTACTTTATACGCATATCTTATACACGCATTTGTTTAGGTAAAGCAAATCGTTTTGAAAAATGGCTGATTCATATATTTGCAGGTACATATGAGAATGGTACATATGAGAATGGTACATATGAGAATGGTCAGCCTTTTTTTTAAATACTAAAATCCTAAAACTTTTCAGGTCTTTAAGAATACATTAGTTGCATTGATAAATGAATGGGATTATTTCTTTTTTAATGTCACTTTGAGATCATTAAAATGTAAAAATTGACATCTTAAAATGTATGACAAAGATTTCAAAATGGGGCTATTTTTGGCAGTTTATGCAGTTTTACATTTAATGCAAGAAGTTTCAAGCCTTAAAGGATAAAGTAATAAAATGCTCCTCTGGGCGCAGCTTGATACGACCGCAGAGGTCGAACCCTGAACAGTTGGGGCAAGTATGGACACAACATTCAAGCTTGATACAGCACTGAATTTGGATTGTGATTAAATATTTGACACAGCATAGGTTTCTGACTCAGAATGAATGTGGTCTAAGAACTTAAAAAATTTTAAGTTACCTATTCAAACCATATCATTATTTTTTGCTTTTATATATAAATAAAAAATAACCAATTTAAAAAGGAAAATTTTAAAGAAAAAAAAGGAGAAAAAGGAAAAAAAAATCCCCCCCCCCCCCCGATTTTTTGAATCCCCTTTTGATTCATCACCCCAAACTCAATCCCAGCCTTCCCTTTATGGTATGGTACCTTGCAGTATAATTTCAGAGAAATCCATACACTTGAACACAAGTTATTGTCTGGAAACTAGAAAAATGCTTGTTTTTAGGCCCCTTTTTGGCCCCAAATTCCTAAACGTTTAGGGCAATTACCCCCAAACTCAAACCCAGCTTTCCCTTTGTGATATACCTTGTAGTACAATTTCATAAAGATCCATACACTTACACACAAGTTATTGTCTTGAAACTAGAAAAATGCTTCTTTTTTGCCCCTTTTTTGCCCCCAATTCCTAAAATTTTGAGGCAATTACCCCCAAAATCAATCCCAGCCTTCCTTTTGAGGTATGGTACCTTGCAGTACAATTTTAGAGATATATAAATCAGAAATAACCAATTTAAAAAGGAAAATTTTAAAGAAAAAAAAAAGGAAAAAAAGGAAACCCCCCCCCCCCCCCGATTTTTTGAATCCCCTTTTGATTCATCACCCCAAACTCAATCCCAGCCTTCCCTTTATGGTATGGTACCTTGCAGTATAATTTCAGAGAAATCCATACACTTGAACACAAGTTATTGTCTGGAAACTATAAAAATGCTTGTTTTTAGGCCCCTTTTTGGCCCCAAATTCCTAAACGTTTAGGGCAATTACCCCCAAAATCAATCCCATCCTTCCCTTTGTGGTATGGTACCTTGCAGTACAATTTCAGAGAGATCCATACATTTGAACACAAGTTATTGTCTGGAAACTAGAAAAATGCTTGTTTTAGGCCAATAAGAAAACTTTGTCAAAATAATTTTTGTATTTTTTTCTAGAACTTTTATATATATGGCAACTTTGTAAACAAAATTTATTCTGAAAAAATCAATAATAGAAAATAATTGTAAAGATAACAATTTGTCAAAGTGGCTTGGTACTTAAATGGTTTCATTATGACATAGTGCCAATAAATATATCTTTTTCATGCATAAAATTTGACATCTATTCATTACTCTAGGTTTAAATGAACTATTTCATAAATTGTAAAATGAATATATGCAAGTAACAAAAAAAAAATTGTAGAAATTTTTCCTGTGTTTTCAAACAAAACTAAACAAATAGTATGTGTGACTTTTGTACTATCACATTTGTTACTATCTGTCCTGTAATTTTCAGTACGTTTGTCATCACAGGCCTATTTTATATGTAAATATATATTATTTTTTTTGTTATTAGAAAAAAACCTATATCGTAGAAATATAAGAGCAATAGAATTATCAAATAAGTTAAAATATATTTGAGCAGTTAAAACTACAACAAAAACCATTGATATAAAATCTTTAGACAAAGGGGTGCGCATTCCAAAATAGCTTGTTTCCTAAATCCTGAATGTTATGATCACACCAATTTTTTTTTTAAATAAAAAAAAATTATACCATACTACTTTTAAAATATTGAACTTTTCTTTCATGTGAAATTTAAGCAATGACAAATAAATAACCAAACAAGAAAAATATTAATCCTCTCGATCATCTTTTGATCCTGATAATTAAAACAGTCCGCACTTTGACACTACTGATAAGTAAACATCCTGTATACAGTAAGGTTGTAAAGTTCAAACAGTAGCTATTAGACATTTGCAGCAACTACGTCTATACCTAGGATTACACTTAGACTTACCATTACAGTTGACGAAAAACAAGGGATCATCTCAAAATTAAAAAAAAGCAACAATAGATACCTAGTAAAACCAAATGATTGTTTTTTTGTTATGTATATAAAACTTTTCGACGACACGCTAATGCAGCGCAAATGGTCACAACAGATTTGAATCGCTGTATTGGATATGTCACGAAAAAATCCCCATAACTTTCTTTGTTTTTAATTCTCCGATGGCGTGTTCAAGCTTTACCTTATAGTGTGTAATAAGTTTATATGATTTTTTTTGAATTCCTCTACAGATCCTGGGGCTTTCGAACAATTTGTTGTCTTGTATAAGGTTTATAATATTTTTGTTATAGTTCCAAAATTGTGTCTTACTTTATTTTAGTAAAGCAAAATCAGCAAAAATTCGTTCAGAGAGTACTTTGCAAACGGTGCACTTGAAAATCAGGAGATATGCGATAAGCAAGTAACACAATATTATTATTAAGTAATGCTTTGAAATAGCAATGTCCTTCGTTTTTAACGATTACTTTTTGTATCCGAAACTGCTCCCTAACCGGCTTAAATAGTTTACGATTTTTTTTAATAATTTCTTCTCAGCTGAAATATACCTTTGCACATTTTATCCCTTTTAATCAACAAAATAATTTTGCGGATAAACTTTGTGTGACTGTCATAAGTGCACTCTAGAGTACAACTGTACCGGTCTGGGATCAATAGTTACTGGACATGCTTCGATCAGACCAGACCCACCCATGTTTATGGGAGCGAAATGATTAAAGACACCGTGAAAAAACCCGTCTATACTCAAATGATTCCCGAGATCGCTATACAAATTGCACAAAAATAAACAACTCAGAACCCAATAGTCATTTTAACTTGCGTCGTTGAAGGCGTCAGCAGGTCTAGTAACCGCTCGGCTCTGTCCGTCCATCCATTCGAAAGACCTTGCGTAAAGTTTTCATGGTTTCTATAGAAAGGAATAATTTTATGTTTGGTCTACAGCTTAATAGTTAGTGAGTTGCAGCGTGTATGCTTTTTGTTCATCTGCCGTTCAGCTACTTCCTCTTGTCGATAGTTCATTAATTTTACAAGTCTCATTGCACAGGGAAAATTTTTCGTCAAAACTCGACTCAGGTCTAGACCTGGTTTTGGTTTTGCTTAATTTGAGAAGATAGATAGTAAAATTCCAACTACTTGAGTACACCTATTTTGCATTTCAACAGAGTCTGACGAATAGTTTATATTATGTATTCGATACAAAGATGTTCAAAGATAACGATGTTGTGTTTTTTTTTCTCGTATATATTTGATTTTTTTTTTACGCCAAAAACGTGGACAAAAGTGTTTGCCGAATTCAGAAAAAATAAAAGATAATAAAAATATACCGACCGGCAAGTATAATGCCATGAGAATAAATAATTCTAACTTTTAAAAGCACCCAACCTCTGTATCCTCCCATTTTCTTTTTTAAAAAATATGGAAACTATATGTCTTAGCATAAACATTAGATATTGTCAACATGCTCCTTAGTTGATCGTCCTTTCTTTACACTAAGTCTTGTTGAAATTAATTTTTAATTGTCCCAACCTAGCCAACGACAATACGGTTTTTTTTTGTGTCGCATTTAAAACTCATTAAGTGATGTTTGTCCATTCTATCATACTCTGTACATGAACACGATGTACAATAATCAATGTGTACATATTAATTCATATATTTCTTAAAATCCCTATTGTTCAACTATAGAAAAACTTCATAGGAGTTAGAATTTGTTTTGGGACGACGGTTCATATTTACTCTTTGAGACGACCCCAGATTTAAATGCTACATGAAAGAGGCTCCCGCAGGGTCAAAAACGACCTGCGACCTCCGGGCTCTTTAGAGGCGACTTCCGACCTGAGGGCCTTCTAAAAACGACCTGCGACCTGTAAAATTTGGTAAAAACGACCTCCGATTTCACCCACACTTAAAACGACCTTGCCATTTTGGGCGCGATGTTTTCCTTTGTGGTCCTTTGTCGCCATTTCGGTAAATGGTAGATCTGATAAAAATAAAATGCTAAAATCACATGTCCCACCAACCATGGTCAGCCATACTGTTTTTCCGGCCATCTGTCACACTTTTGTCTACTTTATTATACTCCACTACACGCAGTAGAGAAGTATTACATGGTTGGGTATCCGTCCGTACTTCCATTTGTCTGACCGTCCCATGGTGGTATCGAGATTAAAACTTTAGAACGGATCAAAGATTTATTTCATTTGTTCCCAATTGTTTAGCACTAT